ACGCTCAACAAAATAGGCATAGACGGGGCTTACCTAAAAATGATACAAGCCATATGACAACCCCATAGCCATATCATACTGAATGGGGAAAAAACTGAAAGCATTCCCACTTAGAACTGGAACAAGACAAGGCTGCCCACTATCTCCACTTCTATTCAACATAGTGCTGGAAGTCCTTGCTATAGCAATCAGACAAGAGAACAGAATTAAGGGCGTCCAAATTGGAGCAAAAGAGATCAAACTCTCACTCGGTGAGCGTGGAGATATGGGAGGGTAGCTGAGTATAAGAATTACTGTGGAAAGCAATATGGAGATACCCTCAAAGCGATACAAGTAGATCTACCATTTGACCCAGCAATTCCACTACTGGGCATCTACCCAAAAGATCAAATGACACTCTACAAATGGGACACCTGCACTCAAATATTTATAGCAGCACAGTTCACAATCGCAAAGTTGTGGAAACAACCCAGGTGCCCATCAATACATGAGTGGATTAATAAAATGTGATTTATGTATACTATGAAGTACTATTCAGTTTTAAGAAACAATGGTGACATAGCACCTCTTCTATTTTCCTGGATAGAGATGGAACCCATTCTACTAAGTGAAGTATCTCAAGACTGAAAACACAAGCACCACATGTATGCACCAGCAAATTGGTAAAAACAGATCAACACCTAAGTGAACATATAGGACTAACATTTATTGGGTGTTGGGTGGGTGGGAGGAGGGAGGTGGTGATGGGTATATACAAACATAATGAGTGAGATGTGCAACATTTGGGGGATGGTCACTCTTGAAGCTCCGACTTGAGGGAGGAGGGGGCGTATGGGCAATATACGTAACCTTAACATTTATACCTCCATAATATGCTGAAATAAAAATAAATAAATAAAAATTTTACGCCACTAGTGAAAAGCATAATTATAACCAGTTTTATATGTGGAATATCTGGGCCAGAACCACACTTATTAACTACATATCAAATTATTAAATATCAATTTTAAATTTCAAGTGTGAATATGAATCCCTTAAAAGAAAAGAGTGACATTTCCTGAGCTACTAGTAAAAGTCAAATGCTTGTATCTTCCTCTTTTTTTTTTTTTTTAAAGAGATGGTGTCCTGCTATATTGCCTAAGCTGGTCTTAGACTCCTGGATTCAAGCAATCCTCCCAGGCTCTAAATGATTGTATTTTCAATCAAAATAATATACATAGTTCTACAGGAATAAAAATCTCAAAACTTAAAGACTAAATCAAGTGATACTTATGCTGTCCTGGCAAAAAGCTTGAATTATCTTAAAACAGGAATTATTAAACCAATAAATACTAATGTGTACCTTCTACTTGCCTAGCACTGTTCTGGAAGTTTCTCTTCTATATTATTCATCTCTGACATTGAGACTATATACTATTCCAGAAGGTGAACAATGGAAACTCGTTCAGCTACGTTATATTTAACTAAGATAACTCCGAATCAATCACTGTAACTTTGGTATTTCTTAGCCATCCAAGTTATAACTCACTGGCAAAAAATATTTATTTGGAATAAACCACTTGTTTTTCATCTCTTCCACGAGGTTTTCAACTTCCTCAACAATTACTCTAAGTTTAGAGCAAGAATAAATGCTCAGAGAAAGCCTATTCAAAGGGTCTCTCAGCTATAGTACATGCAATCTGGTCGCATATTACCTAATTTTTCTTTTAAAATGTCTAATTTGCTTTCATAATATCTGAAAAAAAATTTATGTTCTTACAAATGATTTGTTCATGGCACGTTTAACTTCATCGGAACCATCTGAATAGATCTGCTGAAATAATTTGTTTAAAGCTGCATCTCCCTCCAACTTCTCATTCTTTTCTTCTTCTTTGATCTCGCCAACCAATTTATCCCAATTTCTTGTATAATGAGATGATGATGGATATAGATTCTTTACATCTATGAAGCAAAAACAGGCAGAAGTGATTGATCAACATGTTTGGATTATGTTAAGAATATGTAAATTTTGTGATCACAGTGTACAGAACATCTTAGCTAATAGTTTAGGTCACTGAACTTTATGTCTGCAATAAGTATCTTTCTGATACATCAATAACTAGATTTACATTTTTAAAAACTGAATCAGTTAACATAATGTAAAATCTGGGAATTTCTTCTGAGCAAAGTTAATTCAATAAAGCACAAACTATGGCACATTACTTAAATTAGATTAAAAACAGATTCTTCACATTAACGGGAAACTGGATGAAAATATGCAAAAACTTTTATAGTTACAGAAAAGTAGCAAAAATAGCAACAATTCTAAAAATAAAGGTTCTTTTTTAAAAAGATGCTTAAGAAATTTATCTTTTAAATAAGATTTAATATATGTTAAAATGTGGCTTTTTAAAAGGTATTTATGAATTTTTCTGAGTAGACAAACTGAAAATATAATCATTCATGTTACTAAACAGTAAGTTAAGACTCTATCCTCTCCCCACATTAAAAACATAAGATTATTTCAATAGGCAACAACAATAAGGAATTCCTCAATGTTGAAAAATACTACTTGATAATCTAAAGTTCAATGCCCACATCACACACATAGAAAACAGTAATATTTGTAGGACTAAAATAATTATGTAGGACTAAAATCCAGACTGGGGTAAACAGAGGCTAACAGCTCAGGGGCCCAGGGCATTGACAAGACTGTTCCAAAGACCAAGGGCACTAAGATCTTGGTACAGAAATAATTTAAAAATAACTAGCTGACCTACTAGCTCTAAGAGCAGCTCTGTTCACGGTCCAATGGAAATACAATAACAAGCACAAATGTGAGCCACACACAGTTTCAAATTTCTTATAGCCATGTTACTAAAAAAAAAGCCAAAAATCAGGTGAAATGCATTTTAATGCATTAAGCCAACTTTCTCCCTGCCCATACCCCCTCAAAACAAAATTAAAAACTCCAACACCACCCTGCAGTTTTATTAAAGACAAGTATATTATTTAAAAAATACTATCCACCTACCCACTAATAGAAATCCCTCTGTATTTATACATACTCACTAGTTGCCAAAGAAAACAAAAAATGCATGCCATTGTAAGTTAAGAGCCTGGGAAACATGGATTTAATTAATCCTAATGCTGACTTCCAGAAAAAATGGAAACAGAGGTTTTAATCTCCACATTACAGATAAGAAAGCTGGCCCAGATTGGTTAAGTGACTTGCCTTTATCTGTAGTCTTCAGCTTGCAGTACACAGAAATCTGACAAGCATATTAATTCCTTACAAAAACATAACGGAACAGGAAGAATAGCACCTTGAATATCTAAAGGTGTTAAGTTTAGAGAAAACTTGATAACTACAACACTAAAAAATCTTGATCTTTAAATCTCAGAAAAACTTTGACACCTGGAGATGAACTACTGAGAGATGAGTAATCTATCTTCTTGCTCATTCATTACAATGTCAAATAACTGTACAGATATGTCAGCAGAGACTGCTTCCATTGTTAGAAAATTATACAACAAGCAGTGTCACACAAGGGGTCAACAGAGGAACTGACCCAGACTGTGAAGACCTGGATTTTAGTCCTACATAATGAGAAGTTCTAGGTGATCTTTGGCAAGATGCTTAACCTTTCTGAGCCTGTAAAGTAGGAGGAGAATATGGACTGCCTATTATATAGGGCAGTTATTAGAATTCAGTGAGATATTACATTTAAAGCAACTTTAAAAAAAAAGAGCTTTGGTCGGCCTGTAATCCTAGTAATCTGGGAGGCCGAGACAGGATGATCATTTGAGCTCAGGTGTTTGAGACCAGCCTGAGCAAGAGTGAGACCCCATCTCTACTAAACAAATAGAAAATTAGCTGGACAACTAAAAATATATATAAAAAAATCAGCCAGGCATGGTGACTCATGCCTGTAGTCCCAGCTACTTGGGAGGCTGAGGCAGGAGGATCGCTTGAGCCCAGGAGTTTGAGGTTGCTGTGAGATAGGCTGACGCCATGGCACTCTAGCCCAGGAAACAGAGTGAGACTCGGTCTCAAAAAAGGAAAAAAAAAAAGAGCTCTGTATTATCTATAAACCTCAGTCCAAAAATCTTTCAGACTCAGTACCAAGAGAAGCATACAACATCTTCACTGTTTTACAAATAAAGTATGAAGCAGACACTTAATTGAATACCTGAAGTATCAACTAGAACTATTTCAGTCCTTAAAAAGTATCTGTTGGTGTTAATATCCCGGTTTTGCTAATTATACTACAAACTAGTTAAGTTGTTCTCATTGGGAGAGGCTTGGTAAAAGGTACATCAGAACTCATTTCTGCAATGTCTGCATGAGTTTTAAAATGTTTCTAAATAAATATGCACACACACAAATGATGTGCTGAATAACTAACTTGGTGTTTTCTAAAAGATGCCACAAGGGAATATGTTTTAAAAGGGAATATGTTATAAAAGAAAGTCAAAATCTGAAAGTAGCCAAGACAAAATGCTAGCTTGTTGCAGTTATCAAATCAGACCATTTCCTCTAATAATAAAAAAAAAAATTTCTCACCATTCATTAATGAGCTTATTGCCATAAACTACAATCTCAGGTTGTAGTTCTAAGAGTGACCTGCAAATCTGTCCATTAGAAAAATGCTTATCTGCTTGTAACAGCTTAAAATTGACCTGAAAAGTTGTCTGTCTTAGCCCTAGTTTTCTACTCTTCTTGTAGGCTTTTCTAAGGCATCATTATGTGTTTGTATCCATCTCTAAATTAGCAATATAGTGAAATAGGCTAGATAATTTATTCTGTGAAGCCCTGAAATTCCAGGAAACTAGAGTTGACAGTATTAGAAGGAATAGAAAGAAAGAAATCAAGAGGGAGAGGGAAGAGAGGGAAATATATTAGCAGGATAAATTAATTAACTTGTTGCCCAAAAAGAAGCAACAGGAAAGGCCAACACACAAAAATAATCTCCAACTGATGATAAAAACTTGACATGGTAAAGAATAAATTTCAGCTCGCTCTGGGATTTTGCTGCCATTTGTTTGTATTCTTAAGAGTTTAAGAAGTTTGAGCCTTCAGAAGAAAGACTACTTTGTATTCATTACAGAGCAACCTTATTACACTCAATGTATCTTATCTTGGGAACATAAATAATGAAAGTAGAAAGAATGCTCATTACTATTTAATTTCAATTATACAACACAATATGAATTTAAAGCTCATCAAGACCAGAAAACAAACCTGCTATGAACTGTTTTGGTTTAGACACATCTCCTTGCCCCTCTAGCATCTCCCATCTCACAGCCTCTGGCTTTTTCATTTTAATTTCAATCTGGAGGAAACACCAAATAAAATCCATTATTCAATGTAAAATACACAATACAGTAAAAAATGCAACTGTCTTAAGTCATCAAAGTTTTATAAGAATAGTGTCTTGAACAGTTTTCTTAAATTATACAAGGTTAAATCTGAAGAGCTATGAAACATTTATTTTGTTTCTACACTTAAAACTCACCCTTCAAAAAACAACATAGACTATATAAGCTACAATTAAGAAGAGTCTTGAAATCTGCTTTTTTCCTTCTAGAGCAGTGTTCTCAACCAAGAGGATTCTGCCACCCAGGGGACATTTGGCAATATCAGAAGACACTGTTGGCTGTCATAACTAGAGAGAGAGCAGAGGTGGTACTGACATCTAGTGAATAAAGACCAAGTATGCTACTAACCATCCTATAACGTACAGGGCAGCCCCCCACAACAAAAAATTATCCAACTCAAAATGTCAATAATGCCACCACTTAGAAATCCTGTTCTAAAAGAATTACTGTTTTTACATGTGCTTTAATTTGCTTTAGAACGGAGAAATTTCATAGTAAAAACCTAATTAATACTAACATTTTTCCATTCATTCATTCAACGAATAATTACTAAACATCCACTATGAGAAGTACAGTCTTCAAGACTAGGGGAGATTTCAAAAATATTAAAGACACATTCTTTATCACTTGCAAGTATTGAGATACTTGAAGAGAGTTAGTGAAGAGGCAAATAAATGTTCTAAAAGCTCAAGAGAGATCATACCTGCTTGTGAAGAGGAAAGATTTCACAGCACCTTGAAGGGCTTTGGGGGATAGAAGCAAGAATGGAAGGGGTAGGTCTACAGAGGCAAAAGAATGGCCTGAACTTGGAGCTCTAGAGTATGAAAGGACACAGTGTGCATCAGGGAGTAGAGAGACCACCAATATGTCTCAGGTCCAGGATTTATGTCAGAGCAGTGAAAAGTACAGATGGAAAAGAGGTAGAAGGCTGACTATGGAGAGCTTCAGACTAAGTTCACTTATTAAAATGAAAAGTTAATGGCATCCTAATAGCATCTAAATCAAGGTTGGTTCCCTACAGCCTACCCTTACCCCTAACACACATTCACGCAACATTTATATATAACCTTTTCTTTTCCTTATTTACGTAATGCTCTCATTCCCCATTTTTAGCCTTGCAAAAATCAGCACTTTCAGTGGAAATATTAAACAGTAATAAATATACGAATCAAATTAGAATTTTATATTCTAAGATTTATGAAAAGGATCATTATTCATATAAATAAGAAAAAATCAAAAGACAGATCTGATAAAAAAAAAAAAAAAAGCCCATTTACCCTACTGGTTCTTTGATTTCTTTATATCACATAACTCATTTAAACCAGCAATTTCTGGTAATCTTTCTACTACCTGCATTTAGAAAGACAACACTCAAAATTTGTATTTTAAAATACCTTAACAAAGCCGTAAAGGAGAAACCTGCCAATATTTTTAATCAAACATGGAGTGATGGTAACTGGAATATGTGGTCTCTGAACGTCTATTTTTATTTAAGAGCACAGATATGTAACAATTGTTTTCATAATAAAAACATGAAACAAACTCACTGGGGCAAGAGCAAAGAGAATAGATAGTATCTTCAATGTAATTTACATGCTTAAATTCTATATATAAAATAAATACTTCATAACAATCTCTAGAATTGCCTAAAGTGAACTATGGTTAATTTCTATAAGGTAAAATATTACCGATGTTTTCTCATACATAGTATTAAGTGATAGTACTCTGGCTACTTTGTCACCTCTGGGATATTTATCAAAAGGGGACAGAAATCCAAAGGTTGGCAATGACACTGCAACAGTTACTGAAAAGTGCTATTAATGTGATCCTAATTTAAAACTGTACCTTACTCCTTTAATTTTCAACTCTTCTGGAAATGAGGGCCTGAAAAGCAGTACATACATCATCACACTAAACTTGGCCACAGGGCACCAAATAGCCATACTTCATTGTTCTTGTACTATGTATGCACTGTCTATAAAAAGTTAGTTGTTTCAAAGAATAGCACAGATTAGCACTCACATCTACTGAAAGCTACTGTAACTTGAGTAATTGTGTAGTATGAACAAAGAGGCCTTTATTTATAAACCAAAGTCAAAGCTCTTAGTAACAACCTGTTTCAGCTGAGACAAGCTGACCTGAACTTAAAATTATACTTAACCAATTCATCAAAATAGCTGCATGTAATAAACCATTTTAAAAAGATAAAAAAAAAAAAGGGGGGGGGGATTGTGGGGACCAGTTTTCTATGAATTCATTTTTACATCTACGATGATTGAACATGCCTTTTTAAAATAAAGTTTTAAGCCTTGATGATTCTGGCAGATAATTCTGGACTTATCACCAATCCAATTTCAGAGATTTCTATTGCCACCATTAATAAACCACTGTGTGTTCATTAAGTCAAAAACACCTTACAAGTTAACTTAAAACTGACAGTTTGCTTGAATCTTGCTCTCATATGCATGGGGAAGGCTTTCATGGTGCCATAATAACCAAAAGCAGTATCCACAGGTTATTAATAAGAATCCCTACTGTGCTGGATCGTTAGCTCTTAACATTATATAGATTACCATCCACTGTTAAAGTCTCCTCTGCATAGCAGAGAGTTTATTAATTTTATCCAATAAAGGAACTTCGGATTTAAAGAGAAGTCATTACTCCTAAGCAATCAAGATCCAACTTACCACTATACACTGACATGAAGGGATCTTTCCCTGAGACTAAATAGCTGTAGCAATTTATTGGCAAACTTCTTAGAATTATATGCTTCGAGGCCTGTAGTCATTAAGTAATTGTTCTCCTGATCTTCAGGATGCAGACTTCCCAATGTTCTCTTACTCAGCTCTTTGCATATTTATTTTTTATTTGTATATATTCATGCCGTACAAGTGCAATTTTGCCACATTCACATATGGCAATGTAGTGCTTCCATGTTTCTGCATATTTAATTGCTGTATCAAATCCCTCTGATAATAGCTCAGTCTTCCTGAGGCCAGACTAATTCATCTACCTTCTTATATATTCAAATCATTTTATAATCATTTTTTAAAATGTAAAAGATGGTAATGAATCATCTCATTTCAAACATTTACAGAGTGCCTACTCTGAGCTAGGTTATTATATAATAAGGACAGAGTCTCTGTTTTTCCTAATCAAGAGACATTCTCATACACAAAACAATTCTAGTATGTGTTATATGTAGCGACAGACTACATACTGGGAAATATCAAGTTATCTAGAAGGAAGTATGCTAAAATGTCATCATGGTGAGTCTGATTCTCCTTTATCTTTTCTAAATTTCTGATGATTATGCTTTGGTATATACTTATTGCTTTTATAACCTGAATAAAACACTAATCAGGATAAAACAATAACAACAATAGTAGTAAGATTTATTGAGCACTTATAATAACCCTATGTGCTAAGTGTTTCACATACATCATCTCACTTAATAGAACCACCATATAAAAGGAGATTACTTATCCACAATTTAGAGATGAGCGAGTCAAGGGATGATATAACTTGCAGGAAATGCCTTTATCAGCTAGCATTTTTACTTATTTCCTCAGAAAAAAGCAGGGATTGAGAACAAGACCGAAAAAAATCAGTTGTGTAATTAGAAAAAAGTCACAAATTGGTGCCGCTTGTTGGATGTATGAGCATAACCAAGTAACTTAATCTCAGTGAGAATAATAGGGCCTACCCACTGTGGGGTTCCTATGAGAATTAAATGAGACTATGTACAAAAAGAATATAGCATTGTGTCTGGCAAATAACTAACAAATGAATGCTATTATCAGTTACCTTCATCATCATTACAGTCAGCTGAAAAACCTGACTTTTTTTCATCTCTGAGTTCAATTTCTCTCCCTATAAACTAGAAATAAAAATACCAATACCATGCAGTAATTTTGACAATTACATAAGATAATACATAACACAGCGTCTGGCATAAGATAAACAGTCAAAACAACTATTATAACTCTCCACAGGTCAAACAATATGGGACTGGCTAAATAAGCTACCGTACATGCATACAATAAAACACTTTGCTAGAGAATATTTAAGGACATGATAAAAATGTCCACAATGCATGATTAAGTTTAAAAAGACAGATACTACGAGCCAGGTGCAGTGGCACATGCCTCTAACCATAACTGCTCTGGAGGCTAAGGTGGGAGAATCGCTTGACCCTAGGAGCTAGAGACCACAACAGTGAGAGACCATTTAAAAATAAAAACAAACAAAAAAGCAGATGGTATATATACAGTAAAATACTTTTTTTTTTTTTTTTTTAGACAGAGTCTCACTTTGTTGCCCAGGCTAGAGCAAGTGCCGTGGCGTCAGCCTAGTTCACAGCAACCTCAAACTCCTGGGCCCAAGCAATCCTCCTCCCTTAGCCTCCCGAGTAGCTGGGACTACAGGCATGTGACACCATGTCCGGCTAATTTTTTCTAAATATATTAGTTGGCCAATTAATTTCTTTCTCTTTATAGTAGAGATGGGGTCTCACTCTTGCTCAGGTTGGTTTTGAACTCCTGACCTCGAGCAATCCGTCCACCTCGGCTTCCCAGAGTGCTAGGATTACAGGTGTGAGCCACCTTGCCTGGCCAAAATCCCTTTAAAAATATTTTTATTTCCCATGATTCCAGGCCTTCATATTCTATATTGTATAATACAGAAAAATTACTTTGACTAAAAATAGGAATATAAGAATATTCTGCAAGGGTAAATTTACCCCAAAGGACTGAGAATTCTTATTCTTAAAGGAAATGGATATGAATTTTTAAAATGAACAGTCATAGTATAGCTACTATTCACAACTGTGACAACAGAAAATTGTCACGAAATTAACAAGATAGAACAAAAGAAACACTACAGTTTAATTTTTTAAAAAGGGTTAACAGGTGGACATGAAAGCTTATATTTAATAAAATGTAGAACTATCAGATACTGAAAAAATATGAATTCTGCTCAGAAACATTAGATATTACATAGTGAAATATTTAGTTAAGTAATGCTATTTTGGCTGGGCTAAGGGTGGCTCACACCTGTAATGTTAGTACTTTGGGAGGCTGAGGCAAGAGGATTGCTTGTGGCCAGGGGTTTGAGACCAGCTTGAGGAACATAGCAAAACCTCACCTCTACAAAAACAACACAAAAATTACCCAGGCATGGTGTCATGAACCTGTAGTCCCAGCTACTTGGGAAGCTGAGGTAGGAGATTGCTTGAGCCCAGAAGCTGGAGACTGCAGTGTTTATGTTAATTCGCTCCTGCCTGGGCAACAGAACAAGATACTGTCTCTTAAAAAAAAAAAAAAAATTCCTCTAACAGGTCCCATGTACAAATTTTAATGCCCTCGACTAACTACTTGACCTTCCGAGTGGTTTCCCAGAAACGGTGGATTTTCCCCAAGACAAAGGAGCCCAGATTCTGAAGGCCCCAGGGCATATTTCCTGCAGCCAAGATTCATCATCCCCACAACTGCCCCAAGCAGGTAGAGTTACACCCCAAGGCAGGTGGCCTTTCCCTTAAAAGCCCAGTATCTCCTTTAGAGAGGGGGACTTGAGGCTTCTCTTGTTCTCATCAGTTGTCTTAAAAATTCCTGTCTTCCTTGGCAATTCTCCTTGTCTCAATAATTGGATCTTAGTGCAAGGAGCAACAGGATCTAGACAGAAAACCCTTTGCAGTTTAGACATTTCATTAATGTAAGGGCCTTACCTCTTCCTATTTTCATCACAAATTATAATTAACTCAAATTAATAGCACTTAACCAATGGCTGTACATGAATATGCAATATTAATTCAACCTTGAAGGTGGAAAGAAAATAGGATTCTCAAAAGCAAATCGCCCTCTTAAACTGCTGATTTTACAGAATCTCTAATTTTAAGCAGATTCTCCTAAGCAAAATATACCCTTTTTTCAATTCACACACAGACTCAAGACATCGCAACAGAAATACATTCAAGACATTTAAATACATGAAAAGCAAATTATTTCAGTACTTTTCCCTGTTAGTGTCATCAATAAATAAGCCTCAGTAACTCAGAGATTTTATTTTCAGTATTTTAACATTGTCTCCCTCTGCTGTATGAAAAAAGAATTCAAAGATTTCATCATTTATTTCTCTTAAAATACAATTAAGAAAAATTCTTTCAATATTTCCTATAAAATACAGCTTAAAAGCTAGAAGTTTTATATATATGTATAAAAATGTGGATCTTCCAGGGTCAAGACAAGAAAAATAATCATCCTTTAGAATACATCCTTAGAATCTAAGTTCTTCAAACCAGAACTTACAAAAACCTAAGCAAAGAAGCACTAACTTTAGTTGGCAGTCAGAAGTAAAAGTATGTCTCCTGGGCCAGGCTGAACAATTGAGTACTGGTGAAAGCATTTAAAGTCCATGAACAAGGCCTGTTCACACCTGGCTCATGGTGGTTTACTGTGATTAAGGTGGTTTAGGATTACAGTGGTTCACACCTGTAATCCTAGCACTCTGGGAGGCTGAGGTAGGCGGATTGCTCGAGGTCAGGAGTTCAAAAACAGCCTGAGCAAGATCAAGACCCCCCCCATCTCTACTAAAAATAGAAATTAACTGAATAACTAAAAATATATATACAAAAAATTAGCCAGGCATGGTAGTGCATGCCTGTAGTCCCAGCTACTCAGGAGGCTGAGGCAGTAGGATTGCTTGAGCCCAGGAGATTGAGGTTGCTGTGAGCTAGGCTGATGCCACAGCACTCACTCCAGCCTGGGCAACAAAGTGAGACTCTGCCTCAAAAAAAAAAAAAAGTTCCATGAACCTGTTTTTTTTTTTTTTTTTTTTTTTTGAGACAGTCTCACTCTGTTGCCCGGGTTAGTGTCGTGTGTCAGCCTAGCTCACAGCAACCTCAAACTCCTGGGCTCAGGCGATCCTCCTGCCTCAGCCTCCCGAGTAGCTGGGACTTACAGGCATGCGCCACCATGTCCGGCTAATTTTTTCTATATGTCCAGCTAATTTCTTTCTATTTTTTTAGTAGAGACAGAGTGTTGCTCTTGCTCAAGCTGGTCTCGAACTCCTGAGCTCAAACAATCCGCCCGACATGGATTCCCAGAGTGCTAGGACTACAGGCGTGAGCCACCAAGCCCGGCCAGTTTTTTTCTCTCATCTGTAAAACTAAGAATAAAAATATTTACTCCACCAATATCATATGTCTAACATCAGAATTCAACTGAGATTCATTAATTGAACAAATATTATTGAGCACCCTCTATGTACACTGGACAGGGAGAGAGCTGCTAAATTTAGCAAATAAAAATACAGCACAGAATATATTAATGCTAAAAAATTATGCATTGTTTTTCTGAAATACAAACTTAACTGGGCATCCTGTTTTGGCAACCCTAACTGGGGCACACACAAAGATACAAGACATGCTGCTTATCCTCAAAAGACTTACACAAGTACCAGGAATATAAAATGTATATATAAGCAAGGAACTATACAAGGAAGAAAAGTCGTTATGTAGCAGTTAAAGGAAAAGAGACAAAAAAAGCAAACTGGGAACATAGTAAGGTGGTTTGAGGAATGGTTAAAAACAAGAAACACTAGGAGAATAAAAGCAAAAAATTAGACTACTTAATTACATCCCCAACTTTAGACATACAGATTTCTGTATTTACCACACATACTATGTTCTTCACAAGTACATGAGGTGGCTCAGTAATACAAGTTCTTAAATCATTTATCTATTTATTATCTATAATAAGTCTATTTATTATCTACATAAATATCTACTTATTACCTATTCATACAAATCAATTTACATTTACTTCAAATGGACATGGATTAACAGTCTCTTGATAGAAATCTACAAAAAAATTAAACTCATAATTTTCAGACTTGTCTCATTCTCAAATCTTCCTAGAGTTTTGTGCTTGATTAAATTCTATTAAGTAAATTCTTCACTTACGTGGATAGGGCCAGTGACAGACTAAAATCCTGATAAGATTCATCCCTTTTCTCATTTTGTATTGTTCCAAGCAGCTGTTTCATAAATCTGCCTCATTAACTACCAGCTTTGTTCTTGGCATTCTTCAAATAAATAGGCAGATCTTTTCTAATTAGAAGCAAAAAAGTACTTCCATACTTTGCACTTCCTACTCCAATCCTGTGCAGCTGTCCTCTTCCTTTCTGCAGGCCCAGTCACCATTCTTCATGACACAGGCTGACCCTGATCCTGTACCATGATAGGAAACCTCACATGTTCTTAGAACTTAATAAAGTTAATAGCATAGTATGTTGTAGGATCTGTGTATAAAAAAGGTGTAATAATGGAAAAAGCCTACCTACAGCATTCATTCCCATTAACTCATTTATCAAATACCTACACACAATTTTACAGCTGAAAAGTTTTCAGAGCTCATTTGGCCCGTATCTCTCATTTCAAAGATGATGAAAATTTAGTCCTATAATCATTTTGTGATGAGACTAAATTCACAGAGCAAGCAAAAAGTCAGAGTCAGATTTGATTTTCAGTTCACTAAGTTGCACCACTACCTACATCTTTTGAGTGAGAGTTAAATATTTGGTGAATGAAATATTAATTCTATTGTATATTTTTACTTCTTTTTGAAAATATAAAGGAGTCTAAAAATTACAGTTACTGAAACTGTAAATTATTATTCCCTCATAGTAAACTAAAATTCAGCTTAATTAAAAAATAAAACCAAAAAGCAGATTCATCTTTATAGTAGTTTATATTCTGAAATGCATGAGGTAGGGTGAGAAAAGTATCTGTATATCAAACAGACCAAACGGACAAGTTCAAGAGAAAAGACATTGCCATAGTATCCAATCTTAAAGAGGCTGATTTTTATAACTAGCTTTAAAAAAAAAAAAAACTCCTTAATGAAAAGTACTTATCTTATTATCTTAATAATTACTTATCTTATTATCTTATTACTTATCTTATTATCTTAATAAAGTGTGCAAATATCACACAAGCCTAGCAGATATTTATACTTCACTGCACTAGAATTCTGGTGGTAAAAGAACCTTGATACTCAAAAATCATCATTTTTATTTACTTGTCTCTTTTAATTTAAAGATATATGGCTGAAAGAATGTACAAGGTTATTATCACATGGGTAATTAGTTCACTAGTGTTTCTATATTCTGAAAATATTATTTGTGACAACCCTTTTCAATTGTCTTACCTTTGTTGAAAGTACTTTAAACGTGCTCTGTTCTGGTATTATAGGATAAAGAAGTCTGAGTTTCAAATTGTAATCCTCTCCAGATGGAAGTTTCACCAAAGCAGACAACTAATAAACACAAAATAATCACATTTTGTAAATTTATATATGATGAGTAAAATACTTAATATAGAACTTTGATAATATTGCAAATTATTTTAAACACTTTATATGAAATGTCAAAATAATCTTTTTTTCCCCAAAATGGTATCCTTCAGGTGATTTCTCATATACATAATTAAATAACAGAAAAGAACATGTTTCATAATATTTTATCACACATTTAACATTTAAATCTCAAGAAAACAAAATACACAAGAGTAAAATCAGAGTATGTAACAAAAAGAAACTATTCATGTACAAAACATAATTCTACCACTACCACTCAAATTATCTATCATAAGGTTCTCTACTAAATGATTAGAAACCAAGTTATTAAAAGTCATACTCATTTAACATGGTTAGTAAATTCTAAGACATGCATAAATCAAAGAACTTTTTCATGAAGTATACCACACAAGTATTACCAAATCACATTATCTTACCAATGTCAACCAAGTTCTGTTTTGAATTCCAAATTTAAAGAAAAAAAATCTATACCTAGCTATAACGTACAGCATACACATTCTTATCTCAAAACTTAAAATGACTCAACTCAAACTTAAAAGCAATCTTCAGATTTTATTCAGCATTGTCCATAAGGAAGAAATGGCATGTATCTGATAAACTGCTTTAGATTATTCTGCAATATGATAAAGTTGTAAACAGAATTTAATCTCAATATAAAAAATGGTTCCAAGACCTCTTTAGCTGAAAATTCCACATTTACATCATTCTTCTGAACATTCTTGATCATAAGTGTAACGATTACTTGAGATTCTGTTTGATACCAGTCATACCTATTTAAGAAAAAAAAGAAAAACTTAAAACAGCACTTTTAATTCTCTTAAAGTTGTTGTTCATCAAAATAAAAACAAGTCTGATAAACAACAGCTCCACCTTGAGGAACAAAATAGCAAAGTAGCTGTTGATTCACAGCAACAATTTTCTGTAACTAATTTTTCTTGGTACTCTGTACTAAGGGAAAAAACCCAATAAGGTTGATAATGTCCAAACTTTCACAGTTGACCTAAACACTTATGTGATTTTCTGGGTTCTGACTTACATCTCTAATATTGCTGTGCTCAAGCTAATACTAAGATGAAATTTGTTCTAAACTGCTAACAGTTACATGCCATCAACAGAGCTTTATGCTATCATTTCAAATACTAAAGATGAAGGAAACATTTCTATCCCTATATTATCGAAGAGAAAACTTAAGCTCAGAAAGGTGAAGCAATCAGCCAATCAGCAGCAGTGGTACACTGGACCCAAGTCAGCCTGAGTCAACACTCCAAGCTCTGTTAACTGAAGCTGGAAGCAGAATTGAGTAGAGGGAACAAAAGCAAATGAGCCAAAATTAAAATAATGTAAGTTTAACTCATTGTGTCAGGCACAACATTATATACAATACCTTCCTTCAATCTGAAGGTACATGGGAAGACTAATTTGTCTAGAGATTCTAATTATCTGTACCTTTTGAACTGAAAGCTCTAAATGTAGGAATCCTCACTTTAAAATCAGACTAGACTATAAGTCTAGTCCCTGAGAGCAGAGCTATTTATCTATCCTGCCACTGCTACATTCTCAGTTCAAGCACAGTGCCTGCTACATAGTACATTTATTAAGTGTTTACTTTATGCTCCAAATGCCTTAATTATTATTTAATAGCTAAGTGCCCTACCCCTGCTGCCGCTGTCACTAGGGCAAGTCAAAGTTTCTTGTCTACTAGATACCTGGAGTTTCATCCTGTATCATGTATCCTGTAACATGAACAAATTGTTTTAACATTTCCAAGCCATTTTAGGTAATTATATCAAAAAGCAGCCTTGATTAAAGAAATGAACCTCAAGAGTCTCAGTTTTCCTTTTGAAAATCAGTGAGGATGTAAAGCTCCAGATCAATGCCCTGTGTTTCTTTCTGTTACAGTCCTAAGAATACAAGTTGTACACATGGCTAATGATTAAAAATAAAATCAAAGACTTGCTAATTGCTTATTCATTATTGCAATTGCTGCCCTCAGCAATATTAACTTTTAAGTCACACAGTGTTCCTATGAAAAATTTGCTCCAAATATAAAAGGCAGGGCAAGTTACAATTCTGGTAAGCCTACTACTAACCTATTTACCTGTGTAATAACATCAAAGTAACTGGAAGAAACTCTCCTTAATATATGGAAAAGTGACATAATATGGAACCAAGTGAAGTAACTTTAATGATGAGAAATGATATGAATTTAACATAAGTAAAAACACTAATACTGATCCTTAAAACAGACTTTTTTTTTTTTTTTGAGACAGTCTCGCTTTGTTGCCCAGGCTAGAGTGCCATGGCATCAGCCTAGCTCACAACAACCTCAAACTCCTGGGCTAAAGCAATCCTCCTGCCTCAGTCTCCAGAGTAGCTGGGACTACAGGCATACATCACTATGCCCGGCTAATTTTTTCTATATATATTAGTTGGTCAATTAATTTCTTTCTATTTATAGTAGAGACGGGGTCTTGCTCAGGCTGGTTTCGAACTCCTGACTCGAGCAATCCGCCCGCCTCGGCCTCCCAGAGTGCTAGGATTATAGGTGTGAGCCACCACGTCCGGCCAAAACAGTCTTAAAATTAGTTTTACATAGTCTATAACAATTTTAGAAAACAGAACAAGAAACACTTGAAATCATATGGTATGGACTTGCTTACTATTAAACGGCAGGGCTTTTCCACCTTTAGGCTTATTTATCATGTACTATTTTATGAAAAAGATACACTTACTTGATTTTGGACTGATGAGTCCGCTGGGATGTAGACTGATTTGGGGAAATTGAAAAAGAAAGACTTTTACAAGTTAGTTTAGCAAATGATGTATTAAAATACATGTATTATTAATTTATCCAGCAATAAAGTTATTTTGATATGAAATTACATGAAAACTTTCTTCAAAAATAAAACACAATAAATGTAATTGTAAAATAATGTCTTCATCAAAAAAAAATATTAAGCATTTTAATAATTTTATTAGTTTCGATTTCAAAAAAGATTTTTCTAAAATAAAAGTTTAACAGAAAACTTTCTAAAGGTATGGTTGGAAAAGGTTACTTATATAAAATGTCCAGTTCTAAGATTCATTAATTCCCTACACTAAAAATAACATTAATATTTTAAAACATTAACATTAACCTTTTGTTTTGTTTTGGTTTTTTATTATCACTTTTTTGAGACAGAGTCTTGCTCTTTGGCCCAGGCTAGACAGCAGTGGCATTATCATAGCTCACTGCAACATCAAGCTCCAGTGCTCAAGTGATCCTCCTGCCTCAGCCTCCTGAGTAGCTGAGACTACGGCGTGTACATTATGTCAGCTAATTTTTCTATTATTTGTAGCAGAGTCAGCCTCCCAATTAAATGGGATTATAGGCGTGAGCCACTGTGCCTGGCAGCATGAATATTTTAAAAACCATTTTTAAGAAACAGAGCATAACCTTCAGGCTTAACAATGATGTCAAACATTGCTCTGGATACCTTTTGTAAAGGAACATTTACATGGTGGTTTCCTAATAATGTCTTACTTCATTTATAACCTCTCTGCAACATACATACATCATTATCCATCAAGAAAAAAGTGACTCCTGATCAACCTATACTTTCCTAAACTACATATGCACCTATTAAGACTATAAATCTAAAGAGTTTATCCTGGGTCATAGGCAGTCTCTAAGCTGTCCCTAAAGGTGAAGGGAAGAATGGGAGTTTGAAGTCACACACAGTGGCTTGTGCCTGAAATCCCAGCTACTCAAGAGGCTGAGGCAGGAGGATCACTTGAGCCCAGGAGTTCAAGAGCAGCCTGGGCAACATATGAGACCTGAGAAAGAAAAAAAAGAAATGGGTTTTGGAGCAAGGAAATAAGCACACCACTCTAGAGATCTGAGTCTAACTCAGAGTTACCCTCCAGTATTGAGGATCAAGAAATACCTAGACCATATCAAATAGAGAAACTAACTAGAACAGATTCTTCTAGTTCATCCTGGGACTAGGATAAAACTAGATTGATCCAGAGCAGTGACAAAATGCAGAAAGGCCACACAACTTGTTTGTGTTACTAGACAAAGTCCTTTCTTTGTTACCCAAATGCCTTTCTACTGTTTTCAGGCCTAGTCACAATCTCAAATACTATAAGACCTGAACAAGTCTGACCTACTTTCAGGTGAAGAAGGAAGCCAAGTTTCAAACTCCTCAATCCATTCCCCACTTACCACCCCTAGGAATATGGGCAAGCATGGAGATATAGAGACAGCAAGATAGGGCTCACTAATGGAGATGTTCAAAATCCCAGTCATACATATGCACATGTTGCCTGAAGTTAACAATAACCTACCTAAAGTAGATCAGCTTTATTAGCTCCAGTTTACACATGAAGAAATCTCAGGGAATAATTTCAGTATTACAATGGAAATTTTGGAAGACGAATATAAATCTTCCTTGGGAAATGCAAGAGACTCAAAAAGGTTAAGTAATTGCCCATAAAGAGAGGACTACACATGTATCTCTCCTAATTCCTTGTTATTTTATTTCTTGATTAATACATAGACACTAGAGAACATTATGTTAAGTAAAATAAGCCAAGCACAGAAAGACTAATCTCACATGTTCTCATTCATATGTGGGAGTTAAATATCAAAAAACAATTGATCTCCTGGAGACAGAGAATAGAATAATAGTTACCAGAGGTTGGGAAGAGTAACAGGAAGGGATAAAGTGGGGATGGTTAATAGGTACAAAATATAGTTAAGATAGTTACATAGAATGAACAAATTTGATAACACAACAAAGTGACTATAGTCAACAATAAGTTAGGGTATATTTTAAAATAACTAAGAGTAGAACTGGAATGCTCCTAACACAAAGAAATGATAAATGTCTGAGGTGATGGATAACTCAATTACCCTGATTTGATTAATTCACATTGTATGCCTGCATCAAAACATCACGATGTACCCTATAAAGATATATAACTATTACATACCCATAATAATTAAAAACAAAAAAATAACCTTTTATATCTGTTTAATCTAAAAAATACAGACAACTGTTGGTAAAACAGCATTAGCCATATTTTGACTGTGCTATTATATAAATTTAAGTTGATTAAAAAATAAAAACTACTTTTATAACTTCACCGTTTTTTTTTTTTGAGACAGTGTCTCAATCTGTTACCAGGGCTAGAGAGGCGTGGCATCAGCCTAGCTCACAGCAACATCAAACTCCTGGGCTCAAGCAATCCTACTGCCTCAGCCTCCCAGGTCTCTGGGACTATAGACATGCGCCACAATGCCCAGTTAATAACAAATCAACTTGAACCACGAAATACATTAAAATAGCCTAATCATTTTCACAACTATCAACTTCTATATTTTCAAAAAAAATTCTATTTCAGTTACTAAAAGAACTAGTATTTAAATGGAATTGCATAGTATTTAACTGAGAGATAGCTCATCCCAAGTCCCATCTCAAATATATTTGGTACTTGAAATTTAATAAAATTAAGTAAAAACATGAAGGATGAAAACTTTGGACTTACCACCTCAGATTCTGATCCTATTAAAACAAAAAGGAAGCATTTTCAGATAATAGTACATTTATAGACAAAGTTACATATGTGATTTCTATGACTCAAATACACTGATTTAAGCTAGCCAATTCTCCTAACTTTCAACTAATGGAAAGTGGTTTAATTTTGCATCCTGGAATAATTTTAGGCTCCTTAGTAATTTCTCACACGTAATATGTAAGCAAATCCATCCAAATCTCCCTTTCAACGTAAGAAACTAGGCAAACATTAGTACATCTTTGGAAATCCATACCTAAGGGAACATGTACTACCTAAATCATACAATTATAAAGTTAAAAACAAATTTGTTTAAACCAAAAAATTTCAAATGTTCACTTCTCTTTAAAGAACATGTAAATCTACATACCATTCTGAGCTTCTTGACACCTTTTAATCCAGACACTGAAATCAGCATCTGTACCTATAAACAAAAAACTGACTATAATAACATCACTCATATGCACAACCTAACATACTCATTCAACAAATACTTACTGAATACCAACTATGTTCCAGGCACTGGGGATTCAGCGAATAAAAGACAAAAACACCTATCCTTATAGAGTTTACAGCAGCTCTGTTATAAATATTCTAATAGGTTCAAGATTTAGTTGTTCTTCCTGAAAAAAAAAGTCTTTTTAAAAATTAGTTTCAACCACAATTTCAACCTTACTAGTTTCCTAGATACAATCAATCTACATTTCTGCCCACTTTCTTTTTTTTTTGAGACAGGGATTCCAAAGTTCAGGGATTACAGGTATGAGCCATGACACCTTGTCTATCGCCCTGGCTAGAGTACAGTGAAATCATCATAGCTCATGGCAACCTCAAACTCCTGGGCTTAAGTAATCTTCCCACCTCAGCCTCCCAAGCAGCTGGAATTACAGGCATGTACCACCATACCTGGCTAATTTTCCTATTTTTTTGTAGAGACAGGGTCTTGCTCTTGCTCAGGCTGGTCTCAAATTCCTTGCCTTAAGTAATTTTCCTGCCTCAACCTTCCCAAGTGCTAGGATTACACCCCCTACTCTTAAAGGAGCTTCCTCTAATACAACAAAAATCAGACCTGATTCAAAGATTCCCAGTATGTCATCAGGGTAGGAAGGAGGTCTGGTTACCGGCAGCTGGGCTGAGGTTCAGAAGCCCTTCCTGGTCGTCCCAGCTCACTCTTCAGTGCAGCTATCTATTCTGTCTACTACTCTCTCAGTGGCTTTACTTGTTACCATACCTTTCCTACCAACACCAAGAAGCATCTTTGTATTTCGTGAAGTTTTGTTGTATCTCCAAGTTACAAGAAAGTCAAGAGAGTACAGATGATGAACTGTGTATTTACAGATAGCAATGTAAATATGTACACATTATTTACTTCTGAAGACCCAGAACAATGCTTACATCTAAACAGTCACAATGCATAGTAATTTAATTAAGAAAAATAGGGCCAGGTGTCTTGGCTCATACCTGTAATCCCTGCACTTTGGAAGACTCAGGCAGGAGGATCACAGGAATTTGAAAACAGGCTGAGCAACACAGTGAGAACTGGGCTCTACAAAAAAATTAAAAATTGGCTGGGTGTGGAGGTGCATGCCTATAGTCCTAGCTACTCAGGAGGCTAAGGCAGGAGGACCCCTTAAGCCCAGGAGCTCAAGGTTACAGTGAGCTGTGCTCATGCACAGCACTCCAGCCTGAGCAACAGAGCAAAACACTGTCTCTTTAAAAAAAAAAAAAAAAAAAGGAAAAGTACTCTAAATAAAAAGTCGACTAATTCAAGCTAAACACAGGCAAGATTAATCTGAAAAATAAAGAGTAATTAAAACAAAATTTTCTGGCCGGGTGTGGTAGCTCATGCTACCCTAGCACTCTGGGAGGCCGAGGCAGGAGGATTGCTTGAGCTCAGGAGTTCAAGATCAGCCTGAGCAAGAGCGAGACCCCATCTCTACTAAAAAAAATTAGAAAGAAATTAGCTGGACAACTAAAAATATAGAAAAAATTAGCTGGGCATGGTGGCGCATGCTTATAGTCCCAGCTATTCAGGAGGCTGAGGCAGTAGGATTGCTTGAGCCCAGGAGTTTGAGGTTGCTGTGAGCTAGGCTGATGCCACGGCACTCTAGCCCAGGCAACAGAGTGAGACTGTTTCGAAAAGAAAAAGAAAAAAAAAATGTTCTGATTTATAAAAAAATTCAACTATATTTACTTGAAAATTTAAATATATTCTCACACTTTATTTTGGTGGTAAACTACTATATCAAAATCCTAGACTTGAATAACCTATTATAATCAGTAAATAAAACCAAGCTTCCTACCATACCAAAGGGGGAAAATGGCAATATTCTGTGTTAATGTTTCACTTTGATAAAAATGGAAGCCTAACACAGTTTAACCTAAATTTTTCCGTGAATTAAATTTAAAGATAAATTTGTTTTTACATTAAATATCCTCAATAGCAATTTTACCAAAGAAGCTTTCTTCAGAAGGACATTTCTGAAATAATTCTAGGATTTTACTTCCCAGTAAATTTCAATAGCACGATATTAAGATACTACTCAAGGAAGGACTTTAGGCAGGAACTTTCTGTTGCTCTTAAAAGCTAAGGAATAGGGTTTAGAAATGTTGAAGATGCAATGATTCATGTCTCTTCAAGTTTTTCAAATATGTATCAAGGCATGAGATAAAGAGACTCTTTAGAATTTACTAGGAGTGCAGATATGCTATGTTGTTAACTGAATAGGCATATTATTCATGTACTGAACTTGGGATAAAAAAGTCTGAGAACCCCTATTGCCCAGATCTCTTCCTTTCTAATTTGTAGCTTCCATTTCCATAGTCAGGCCTAAAATCCTTTCCTTTGAGTAAGTATATAGCAGAAAAGCAAACATTCAAAGAAATACAGAGTAAATTTTTTAAAATTTAATATACGATACCGGGCCAGGCATCATGGCTCATGCCTGTAATCCTAGCACTCTGGGAGGCCGAGGCGGGAGGACTGCTTGAGCTCAGGAGTTTAAGACCAGCCTGAGCAAGAGCAAGACTCTGTCTCTACTAAAAATAGAAAAATCAGTCTCGCATCATGGCATGTGCCTATAGTGCCAGCTACTCAGGAGGCTGAGGCAGGAGGATCCCTTGAGCCCAAGAGACTGAGGTTGCAGTGAGCTATGATGATGCCATTGCACTCTATCCAGGGCGACAAGAGTGAGACTCTATCTTAAAAAAAATAAAACCCAATAACAAAAAACCCCAATACCACAGAGGAAGGTTTTGAACCACATACATTTTTGCTATGGGGGACTGTCCTGTGCATTATAGGATGTTTAGTAGCATCCCTGACTTCTACTCACTAGATGGCAGTAGCAAATCTCCCATCCACCAGTAATGATAACCAAAAATCTCTTCAGACATTGCCAAAATCTCCTGGGAAGTAAAATCGTTCCCCATTAAGAACCATTGCCTTAGAGAATCATAACACTCTATCATAAAAATAAAATGAATATGCAATCAGGATTATGTAGTTTACAATTTTTTCCAGAGGCAAGGTTCCGCTCTGTCGACTAGGCTACAGTGCAGTGATGTGATCACAACTCACTGCAACCTTCAACTCTTAGAATTGCCTCAGCCTCGCCAGCAGATAGGACTACAGGCATGTGCCACCAATGCCCAGCTAAGTTTTAAAATGTTTTTGTAGAGACAAGGTCTCGCTATGTTGCTCAGGTAGGTCTCGAACTCCTGGCCTCTTGTGACCCTCAAGCCTTGGCCTCCCGAAGTGCTGGGATTACAGGTGTGAGCTGCCATGTCCAACCTACAATTTTTCTATGAGGTTACTCACAGCCTCTTTTAATATTTTGAAGATTTTTATTTTATTTTATTTAGCGACAGAATCTTGCTCTGTTGTCCAGACTGAAGTGCACTGGTGTAATCACAGCTCACCACAGCCTCAAAGCCCTGGGATCAAGCTGTCCTTCCAACTCGGCCTTCTGAGCAACTAGGACTACAAGTGCACATCACCATGCCCAACTAATTTTTTTTATTTTTGTAGAGATGGGGTCTTTCTATATTGTCCAGAATGGTCTTAAATTCCTGGCCTCAGGAGATCCTCCCACCTCAGCCTCCCCACGTGCTGGGGTTATGGGTGTGAACCACTGCACCCAACCTTTTGCAAATTTTTAAGTACTTGAATCTCATAACTTCCGTATGTCTAGATATCCATAATACTATGATAATTTTCATTTATTCCTCTCAAAAAGATGACATTAACAACTCACAATACTCTCAAAGCTCCATATTTCTTCTGTACCCGCTCATAATTTTCACCCAAGCTTACACTTCACTTCTCCATAAAAGATTTTTTTGTAAGACTCTCCATCTCAGCAATCTGCATACTTAAAATGAACAGACTTCTGAATAAGAAAGTAAATTAAATTTTCACTTCTCCATTAAAAAAATAATAAAGCCAGAGCACATTACAGTGTTCATACATAGTTTTTGGCTTATAATGGTTAAGGTATGATTTAAATGCCCAAAAAAAAAAAGGCTAATTTAATCAATTTTAGGTGATCTCAAATTCTGCAATCAATGTCATTACAATTAGAAAAAAGTGGGTTCCTACAATTATCCTGAGATGAACGAAATTCAGCTATGGAATTTAAGATATAGAAATAATAGATTAGTTTCTTAAGTATAATACTAATACTTACTATATAATTTTTGTCCTTCTGTAAAGGTTTCTAGAGCAGCAGCATAGTTTTTTTCATGGTATTCACATATCCTGAATTAGCATATTAAAAATAAATTAATACACGTGAGAACATGAAAAATAGCCTTCTTTCTAAATAAAATCTTAGGGTTTTCTATTGTTAAAAGAAAAACATTATTTAAATGTTAACAAGCCAAGAGATTTTCTAAAATGCTGTAACATCTAGTACAATCCTCACTAAAATTCCATTTTGGGACTCACTTCAGAAGATATTTTATTTTATTTTATTTTTGAGACACAGTCTCGCTTTGTTGCCCAGGCTAGAGTGAGTGCCGTGGCATCAGCCTAGCTCACAGCAACCTCACACTCCTGAGCTCAAGCAATCCTGCTGCCTCAGCCTCCCAAGTAGCTGGGACTACTGGCATGCACCACCATGCCCGGCTAGTTTTTTCTATATATATGTTAGTGGGCCAATTAATTTCTATTTATAGTAGAGACGGGGTCTTGCTCTTGCTCAGGCTGGTTTCGAACTCTTGACCTCGAGCAATCCGCCGCCTCGGCCTCCCAGAGTGCTAGGATTACAGGCGTGAGCCACCGCGCCTGGCCAATATTTGATTTTAATTGTACATACTTGCTTTTCCAAAATATAATTATATGAAGAAATTAAAGAAGTTTTTTGTTTGTTTGAGACAAGGTTTCCCTGTTTCCCAGGCTGGAATGCAGTGACCCCATCACAGCTCACTGCAACCTCAAAGTCCTAGGCAAAAGCAGTCCTCCTGCCCCAGCCTGCTGATAGCTGGGACTATAGGAATGCGCCACCACACCTGGCTAATTTTTCTATTTTTTTGTGGAGACCAGGTCTTGCTCTTGCTCAGGCTGGTTCCGAACTTCTAAGCTCAAGCCATCCTTTGTTGCGGGCTCCCAGAGTGCTAGGATTCCATTTCATGTCTAGCCTAAAGAAGTTTCTTAAGGAATAAAGTCACACTTAACAGATACAAGCTGGGATATACATTAAACAGATATAGAGCTTTCATATCATTAAATGTAGCCTAGCCAGCTTGGTTGAGAAACAGGACATTCTTTAGTCAGTTAAATATAGTAAATTCCAAATGATGAATAAAAAAGGGATATGAAATCTATCAGTTTCATCTATACCTTGCACTTACTTCAATTATCACTATTTTAAAACACACTAACTATAGATCTCCTATCACATACTATGGTTAACATAATAATAGAACTATAAGTTATATTTAAAAAGGAATCGTATCTCAGCTATAAAATGTATATAGAATTTTACCACTTATATAAAGCTTTCAATGGACTCTTTCAACAATTTAAACACCTACTACCTATAATCCTAGCTCAACAAGAAGACTTGTTTATTGCATACCCTTTTCTCAGCATAGCAGTAGAATTATTTGGATTAAGTTCAAGAGACTTCTTTGTATCAGCGACAGCATCTGCATAGAAAAAGATGGGGTTTTTAGGCAGTTATTTAGAAATCCTAGCAAATACTACACACAAAATTTGAATCTGATAATGATTCTTAAGTTTTCAAGTTGATGGAAAGGCCAAATGGTTTTTTAATAAATTAGGACAAGCTAATCCAAGATACACTTCAAATAAATAACACTCTTCTATCTTTCTCTCAGCCTAATATTTAGCTTCCTTCTTAAAGCTCTTCATGTGTCACAAAGTTCTTTTCTCATTAACATCATTTATGTATTCTGACTCAAGGTATTGCATTTTTCCCTACCCAGATTCTTGATCAGAATAATTTTTCAAGCTACATAATACAGAAATATTCCTTATTAAAAAATGCTAACAAAACCATTTCATTTAAATATTCTGTGAAACTAAATGTAATGTGATTCTTTATTAGCATATCCAATAGTTATGAACAAAATCTGTATAAATTCTCTACCCACTGAAGAAGAGACACCCATAAAATTTAAATGGGTTTTGTGTAACATAATATTTGTCACATTTCAGCTACTTTTCCTTGTATGAATGAACAGTTTAAAAATCCTCAGAGATAACCTCTATTTTGATTTGATTAAATTTGTCTTGGGTAAAGTTTATAAACAACTTATAAAGAAGAGACAATATACTATATAAGAAAGTTACCACAGTAATTCCCAAGAAGAATGTGACAATAAGCTCTTTGACAATAATACTGTGCATCGTCTGGTTTCTGTTCCAAAGCCTTAGTCAGCTCCTACAAATACAAACATGTTGAATATCAATAAATGTTTTTTAAAAGCTACTGAATTATAATTAAAACCAATTTTTTTTTTTTTTTTTTTTTGAGGCAGAGTCTGGCTTTGTTGCCCAGGCTAGAGTGAGTGCTGTGGCGTCAGCCTCGCTCACAGCAACCTCAAACTCCTGGGCTCAAGCGATCCTCCTGCCTCAGCCTCCCGAGTAGCTGGGACTACTGGCATGCACTATCATGCCCGGCTAATTTTTTCTATATATATTAGTTGGCCAATTAATTTCTTTCTATTTATAGTAGAGACGGGTCTTGCTCTTGCTCAGGCTGGTTTCAAACTCCTGACCTCGAGTAATCCACCCACCTCGGCCACCCAGAGTGCTAGGATTACAGGCGTGAACCACCACGCCCAGCATGAATTATAATTAAAACTATTTTTAATCAAATAACCTACTATCATAAGCTATTTGGAGGTAAGACAAGGAAACAATCTTGGAACTTTCCCTTGAAAGAGGAATATCTCCCATTCTCCTTCCCCACTCCCCCAAAAGCACACAATCTAACATAGTATCTATCTACTGTAAAGCAGTAGATAGCAGTTCTTGGCCTAAAGTAGGAACTCAATAAATGGTAATTATTATCACCTCATTTATTCAGAAGAGTTTAGTTGATAAACATTGACCATCACAGATATTCTCCTTTTAATTTGGAGAAGATTCAAAAGACCATGTACAATTTGAGATGCCTAGAAAATGTGAACTTGTGCAATTAAAACAAAACAAAACCCTGAAGTTAAATCTAGAGCTCAGGTTTACAGAATCAATAAATATACAACCAAGCTTACCTGTCCCACTCCTACCCTGTCAATAGCAGACAGCCCTAATAGATTAAAACATTCTGTTCAAAGCCCAGATACAATCTCATAGAGACAGCTGTTATCAATTGATCAAGCATTAACATCAGAGAGAGTAAAACTTTTCCATCCTGGACAGTCACAGTATATAGGTGATAGCTGGAAAAATAATGATGCAAGAAGAGATCACACAATTAGTGAGACCAAGGACAAGTGCAGGCAAACAGCAACACTTTGATTCTGTGCCCACTGTCCATACACTCCAGAGATTTGGTAGTTTTACTAAAAGGTAAAATTATTTCAATAGGCCAGGCATGGTAGCTCACACCTATTTAATCCTAGCACTCCAGGAAGCTGAAGCTAGACAATCGCTTGGGGTCAGGAGTATGAGACCAGCCTCAACAAGAGTGAGACCAAAAATAGAAAAAATTAGCTGGGCATGGTGGCATTCGCCTGCAGTCCCAGCTACTTGGGAGGCTGAGGCAGAAGGACTGCTTGAGCCCAGGACTTTTGAGGCTACAGTTAGCTGTGATGATGCCACTGCACTCTAAACAGAGCGATGGCCCGTAACTCCATCCTAAGTCTAAGAGCGTCTGAATACTTGCTTTGTGAGAATCATACTAGGTGAAAAGGTAAAAACAAAGTCAATGACATGTGACTACTGAAATTTTTTTTTTTTTTTTTTGAGACACAGTCTCACTTCATCACCCTGGTCCAACAGTCATCAAGGCCAATGCAATTTATATCAAATAATTCCCCTCCATGCTCTGAATCACTGCCCTAGATTCAGACAGTCCTCTTTTACCTGGTCTGTACCACTATGTTTCTGCTATCCACTATCACTTTGTCTCCTCCAATCCATTCTGCAATTCAGAAAATTTCACTTCCTTCCTCCAAATCCTTCAGAGATCTCCATGATCATATGACAAAACTAAAGAGCATCTCCTAGGATTTAATGTCTTTGATGGACTTGGCCTTTCTATACTTGTTTAGCCTTTATCTCCCAAAATGTGTCTCCTGACATTTTATGTTCAAATAGACTAAACAACTTTTATTTTGCTATGGAGTCCTTATCATGTGCCAGGCACTGTACTACACATATAATATAGAGTCCCTCACTTATCTTCATAACTCTTTCAGGTAGGTCCCATTTTACAGATGGGAAATCTGTGCTACAGTGATGATAACAACTCTCTGAGGTTACAGATTTATGAAACCAGGATTTGGACCTAACACTTTCTGACTCCAGAGCCTGGGCTCTTAAGCCCCATGTGTAGCGGGACTCAAAAGATTCTCAAACTTCACACATTTTCTCTCCCTACTGAATTGTAACCTCCTCTATAAAGTTTTGTGTGTTTTCTTTTTTTACTCTCCCAGTCAACCTCTGTTCTATGCTCCTTTATACACAACCCCATTGTAGTAGTCATCTTATATTTTCATCTTTAATTTTCTAGTTCCCAGTTATAGCATTTGCCACTAATGTACATCGTTGAAGGAAAAATATAAAACAGCTTAAGTGATACCAACAGTTTCCCCTTTATTCCTAACTGGATGCCTTTATATAAAAGTACACATATTTTAACCAACGTAGTATCAGGTGACCTGAATTACAAAGCAACTACTGCTACAGGAGCCATTGGGAAAATACAGAGGGACATACACTCATATTCATAATCCAGGTTTCAGCCCTATTTATCATTAGGCATTATTTAATAATTTACATTTACATGTTCATCTTTGTGCAAAGGTCATCTCAAGGTTTAAAAAGAACATTTCCTCTTAACAGAGCTGGTTCTTATCATGATCATCCTCACCACACCCAGAGTTTCTGATTCCAGGTTTGTGGTGGATCCTGAGAATCTGCATTTCTAACAAGCTGATACTGTAGCTGATTTGTAGATCTCATTTTTGAGGACCACTGTTCTATAACACTACACTAAAAGTTAGGAAACCTGTGTCCTGCAGCCCGCATTCTACATCTAATTGGCCGTATACATCTCCAAGACGGATCATTTGGATTTCTTTGGGTTTCTGTTTTCATCTGTACGTTGTAAAAAGATGGGTAAGAAGTACTGGAATACATGAGCTGTCAGGACTTTCAGTAAGAATATGCATTTCTGATGAATTGCCAAGTGATGCTGATACTGCTGGTCCAAGAGCCACATGTTAATGACCAAGATACAAAAGCTAACCACATGCCCACCCTATGCATAGTATATACAACTAAAAGAAAGAAATACATACATGCACTAAAATACATGTACAAGAATATTCACAGCTTTATTCATACTACCTAATAACTAGAAATAACCCAAATGTCCACTAATAAAGTGTGTTATATTTCCACAATGGAACACTACACAGCAATGAAAAATACCACTTCACACAATGTGGATGTATACTTACATAATAATTAAAGCAAAACCAGAGTAGCTACACTCAACAAAGCAGCTACTGCATAATTCTGTTCATGACTGCAAGAAAAGCAAAACTGATGGAGATGGAGGTCAGAATAGGAGTCAGCTGGAGGGTAAGGGGAATTATTGGCTAGGAAGGAGCACGAAGGAGCCTTGTGAACAGATACATTTTTTATCTTGATTTGGGTGGTGTACATATATGTAAAAACTCATCAAATTGTAGCCTTAAAATTTGTGTTATTTACATCACATATCATATCTCAACAAAAAATTAAAGTAAAATAAGCAAGATGTAAAGCAACAATGAAGTTCATTATATTAACATCCTTTAAAAGCAAACTTTTTCTTTTGTTTTTTATCTGACAAAAATGCCATTCAGAATAAAAGCAACACGACCGGGCGCGGTGGCTCACGCCTGTAATCCTAGCTCTCTGGGAGGCCGAGGCGGGCGGATTGCTCAAGGTCAGGAGTTCAAAACCAGCCTGAGCAAGAGCGAGACCCCGTCTCTACTATAAATAGAAAGAAACTAATTGGCCAACTGATATATATATAAAAAATTAGCCGAGCATGGTGGCGCATGCCTGTAGTCCCAGCTACTTGGGAGGCTGAGACAGAAGGATCGCTCGAGCCCAGGAGTTTGAGGTTGCTGTGAGCTAGGCTGACGCCACGGCACTCACTCTAGCCTGGGCAACAAAGCGAGACTCTGTCTCAAAAAAAAAAAAAGAATAAAAGCAACTTTTATGTAAACTGGATTTGCAAAGGAAGCATGAAGCCTGACGGGACCATAATAAATGTAGATTCAGAATTGTAGATTCAGCTATTAGCTGTCTAAACACAGATCAGTCAGCAATATACGACATAAGAAAAATGATCTGGGCCAATTATGTTTTGCACTGAAACAAAACAAAAAAAGAATTTTCCAGTTGGTAGGAGGGCAGAAATATTTGCGGATTGTGGCTGTAACTCAATAATGGTGATGCCCTAGAGTTATGATCCCCAAACTCCTGTCATCATCTAGCTTCTAACTCTGTGAGGTCACCCTCGTTCTTGGATTTTCATAACACTCTATGGATTTGGTATGTTGGGAGGCAGTTCTCTGTGGGCCTCTCATGTGTCCAGTTGTCTTCTGAACACAGGTACTAGTCTGAAGAATGAAGCCTCTGTTCTGGATAATTTTTTCCAGGATGTTTGTATAATGAACAGTCTTGGTAGATATTGTGTCCCTTGTCTAGAGCAAAGAGAAGGTTTACTATCCAGTAAAATAAAGATAATGTCCCCAAGGGGACAAGGATCAGGCAGGCTTAGGCCCATTATAAAAGATTCAGATTCCCTGCATCCTGAGCTCCTCATATAATGTAACCCACTGCACATACAGGTATTATCTGGCCTTCTTTGTGTCATCCTGTGGGATTTAGGGTTTGGGGAACTGACACAAAAATGCTGATACTCTGGCTTCTGCTATTGTAGGAATTACTAAACAATCCTTTGCTTCTGGGGAAAAAAAAAGAGAAAATGAATAGCCATCTGACAAAGAATTTCGGAGAAAAATTATCAGTGCTATGCTCTTTTGAGTAGATGCCTAATAATGCTATTGCTGGATCAAATGGTATTTCTATTTTTAGTTCTTTGAGGTATCTCCAAATTCTTTTCCATAGAGGTTGCACTAAGACAGATGCACCCAAATGTTTATGGCAGCACAATTCATTATTGTAAAGACGTAGAAACAACCAAAGTGCCAGTTAATTCATGAGTGGATTATTAAAATTTGATATATGTATACAATGGAATATTACTCAATTATGAGAAACCACAGTGATCTAGCACTGCTCATTTTTTCCTGGATTGAGCTTGAGCCCATTTTCCGAAGTGAAGTGACACAAGATTGGAAAAATGGGCTCCACGTGTACTTGCCATCAAATTGGTACTAATTAACACTATAGTGTTCACGTAGTGGTGGTGTTCTCCAGGGATTAGGGGGTTGGGAGGGTAGACTCAACAACTGAAGGATGTGGTGAGCATTGTGGAGGGGAGGGGCATACCTCTAACCCTTGCTAGGGAGAGTAAAAGATATAAAATATAATCAAAATGTTTGTACTCTCATAATTTCCTGAAATAAAATTATCAGTGCTTCTTATAACATTACTATAGTATTGATCCCAGAAACCTTACTCAATCTCCTTATTTGAAGGCCTATACGTCCACATCCAAAAACACATCCAGAGCTTAAGAGGCTTTATGTGACCTAGCCCCTGGTTTTCTGTAGAATCTTATCTCCTACTCCTCTTCCACTCCACTCTAATCAAATGGGCCTTTTTGCTGCTCCTTGTATAGGCCAACCTCATTCCTACCACAGGATCTTTGCACTGGCTTTTCTTTCTGCCTGGATAATGCTTGTTCCCCACAGCTTCCAACCTCACTCCCTTGTTTCTTGAGGTCTCTATTCCAATATCATCTTCTGACAGAGGCTCTATTACCCTGTGGCAAATTTCTTTTAGAAGTCATAGCTAAGAAAGAAAAAGGATATCTTGCCTCAAATTGCTAACCTTATTTATGTTAGCTCATAAAAGCATAATAAGGCTTTCCTCTTTTCTGTGCTTGAAAGCAAGCAATTTCTGACTAAATTCTGTGATCCAGAGAATGGTGTATCTTTAGCTTGGTCTCTCTTTACTTCTTATCATTTAATGCTTACTCTTTTACAGACAGCTTTAGAGTCTGTCTTCCACTGCACACGTACAAAAAATCCTAAGTCAGTTAAGTATATAAATAAGACTTTAACCCATAGCAATAAGCGTGTTTGCATACAGCAACTCCAAAAAACGAGTCAGTGAACAATGAACAATGACAGACACCTGGAAAGTTTCAGGGAAATACGGGAAGAGGTTTTTGTTCCACTGCTCCTAAGTTCATACACAAACTTAACATACATAAGAACGTTACATAATGCGAGGATGATTGTCAAATAAAGTGAATACATTTCATCAAATCCACATTTCACTTTCTTCTTACAGTCATAAGTCCCATTAAAAAAATCCTTTCAGGCCATGTATGCATCCTCTAAGAAATAAAATGGAAGTGGTTTTTCTTAGGAACTTCAGGAAGGCAGGAGTCTGGGAGTGGAAAGGACAAAAACAGGGGTCTGGGGTAAAGGGGCCACAGCAGAACAGAGAAAACAGACCGAGGGGCTCATCGTTGGGGCCGACACACAGGAAACCAGGATTTGGACCTAACAGGACCCGGATTTGGACCCAGCAGCCCAGGTCCCAGGAAGGACCCAGCAGCCCAGGTCCCAGGAAGGCAGTGCTGGGAAGAGGCGGGGTCACCATGACCCGACGCAGCCCCTCCCGCTAAGAAGAGTGAAGGCAGAAAATGGGCTCTCTCACCTCTAACGCCGCCTGGGGATCCTTGTCGATCAGAGCATCTGAGCAGCTCTGGAAAAACCTGCCAGGAAAACAACGACTTCAGCAGGGCTCACTAACCAAGTAAAGGGGGATAAAATAAACAGCAGAGGGAATAAAAAACACGCACCTCTGGGTTGTTGCAGGGCCTGCTGCAGCCGCCGCCATCCCTGCCAGTCACAAGTGCTCCCGCTGAAGCTGCTACTACCGCGGTTATCAGCTCCGCCACCGCCCAAGGGGGAAACTTCTGGAGAAACACCAACCGAGCTTCCGTCCTAAGCAGCCAACGAGCAGCCACGCAGCGTGCGGCTGGGGGAGGGGAGCCGACAAGCGGGCGCGGGGCCGGCTGGGAAGGTGGAGGACCGAGTCTCCCAGCCCGGCCCTCGGGTCCCGTGACCAGCGCTCCCAGCCCCCGCCCCTCGCAGCCATGGTTACGGAGGCCTCAGGTATACAAGTTCGCCTCTTTTCCACTGCGCGCCCGCCATCACTCCGACAGAGCCTTCAGGAGTGGTAGAACAAAAGCACTTGTGTAACATACTGTTATCCTTTAGGAATGTGTAGCGAGTAGGGGCGTATGCCTATCTGTTAAGAACACAAGCTACACCGAGCTCCATTTTCACTACTTTTCATCATGGCCGCGGCAGGCAGCCAAGCCTTTTGTAGTTCGTGACGTCACTCGCGGCTGCGCGATCTTTTCCAGGAGCAGAGTCCCGAATGGCGCCTCGATTCCCGCGATCGTTGCGCTGGGAACCTTAACGGGCTAGGACTCGCCGGAAGTCGTTCTGCCCTTACAGATGCTAGAGAGAAAGAAACCTTCCGGTTCCCGGGTAGAGGCGCCCGCTGCTGGTGTGCCCTTGCGTTCCTCAGATTGCTACTTGCCCGGCTTTCTTCCTAGTCGCCTTTGGAGGCTGAAAGAAAAGCCATTTCCATTCTAAGGCCCTAAGGGGTGGCCTAAAGTTGTCTCATGCTGCTTTGTTTTCTAACTTATTCAGTCAGGTTCTCTCCCACCGCCCTTTGACCTACACAGATCAGATAAGGAAAGCTTCCAGCAAGTTCCAGTGATGGGAGGAGCTGGAGGGAGTCGTTTGTCTCACGTTACACCAATACCACACTGCCTTAATTAATGTAACTTTATAAAAAGTCTTAAAGTCGTGTGATTTTGTTCTTCAAGATTGCCTTGGCTGTTCTTAGTCCTTTGTAGTCTTTGAAAATTTTAGAATTTGTTTGTTAGTTTGAAGAAACCTACTAGGATTTTTATTAGGCTCACATTGTATCTGTAGATCTGTTTGGGGAAAAACTGACATGTATTGAGCCCTTCAAGCTATGTATATCATTCCCCTTGCCATTTATTTAAGTGGTCTTTGATTTCTCCAGGCAATGTTGTAGATTGCGTTACAGGGGTCATACATATCTTTTATTAGATTTCTTCTTGGACATTTGGTGTTTTGTTTTGTTTTTGAGACAGAGTCTCACTTTGTTGCCCAGGCTAGAGTGAGTGCCATGGCATCAGCCTAGCTCACAGCAACCTCAATCTCCTGGGCTCAGGCAATCCTGCTGCCTCAGCCTCCCCAGTAGCTGGGACTACAGGCACGCACCATCATGCCCGGCTAATTTTTTCTGTATATATTAGTTGGCCAATTAATTTCTATTTATAGTAGAGACGGGTCTTGCTCTTGCTCAGGCTGGTTTCGAACTCCTGACCTCGAGCAATCCACCCGCCTCAGCCTCCCAGAGTGCTAGGATTACAGGTGTGAGCCACCACGCCCAGCTGGTGTTTTTTATGTGATATTAAATGGCATTTAATTTTTTATAGTTTTCTTAGTGGCAAGTATATAGACACTGTTGATTTTTACTTATTGACCTTATCTTCATCCATCTTACTAAGTACCCTTATTTCAACTACTTTGCAGATTCTTTTGGAATTTCTGTGATCACAAACTTGTCATCTGTGAATAAAGATGGTTTAATTTGTTCCTGTGTGATCTTTATGCCTGTCACTGGCTATTATATGCACTGTAGTACTGAATATAAATAGTGATAATGGACTTCCTTGCCTTGGTTGTGACATAAGGAGAAAAGCATTCAGTACCAAATGCTTTTTCTGCCTTTATTGAGATGTACACAGGTATTTTTTTTTTTGATATGTTACTGTGAATTACGTTGATTAATTTTCGAATGTTATCTAAGGCTGGGAGTGGAGGCTCGTGCCTGTAATCCCAGCACTTTGGGAGGCCAGGGCTGGAGGATTGCTTGAGCCCAGGACTTAGAGACCAGTCTGGGCAATATGGTGAAACCCTGTCTCTACTAAAAATAAAACAATTAGCCAGGCATGGTGGTGCTTGCCTGTAGTCCCAGCTACTCCAGAAACTGAGACAGGAGGATCATTTGATCCCAGGAGTTAGGGGTCATAATGAGCTATGATCCAGCCACTGCATTCCAGCCAAGGTGACAATGAGACCCTGTCTCAAAAAAAAAAAAAAGCTATCTAAATGGCCAATATGTATATGAAAAGAAGTTCTATATCAGGGATATTAAAATCCTAATGAAGTACCAAAAGTACTCCCACCAGAATGACTTAAATTAAAAGGATGTCCAATATACCAACCATTGGAAAGTGTATGGAGCAACTCTAACTTTCATATATTGTTGGTAGCACTATAAATTGATTAATCACTTTAGAAGACTGTGTGCCACTGTCTCCTAAAACTAGTCATACATATACCATACTACCCAATAATTCTACCACTGGGCATATGCCCAATAGTAAAGAGTATTTATGATTATGTACAAGAATATTCATTGCAGCATCATCTACAGTAGCAAAAACTGCAAATAATCTAAATGTCTTTACATAGGAGAAAAATACCACATAGCAACAAGCAAGAATGAACTATCACTACATACGACAATATGGATGAACCTTGCATACAGAAGTTAGGTTCAAGAAGCCAGACAGAGTATATTGTGATTGATTCCATTTATATGAAGGTACAAAACTATGGTGAGAGAAGGAGCAGGATTTCCAGGAGGAAGTGGGGTGGAGCATGGCATGGATGCTGGGAAATGTTACATCTCGATGGGGTGGTAATTATGCCAGTGTATTCAGATGTAAAATTTATTGAGTTCTACACTTACAATTTGTACACTTTACAAAGTTGTACTTAAATAAAATAGAAAAAAATTAAAACAAAATCAATTTTAAAATGCAAAAAGCCATGCCATTTACAATAACATAAAAAATATTAAATAGTGAAAAATCTGACAAAAGATGTGCGAGATGTGCACTGTAAACAAAACGTTGCTGAGTGAGGGTAAGGAAGACTAACAAATGAAGAGATACTTTATGAGTCAGAAAACTTAATATTGTTGAGATGTCAGTTCTTCAAGATTGATCTAAAGACTCAAAATGATCTCAATCAAAATCCCAGAGGTTTTTACCTTTTAGAAGTTAACAGACTGAGCCTAAAATTCAAATGGACTTAAAATAGCCAAATCAACTTTGAAAAATAACAAAATTCCTGGAGATATGACACTACCTGATTTCAAGACTTGTCAAACTGTGGTATTAGCACAAAGACGGACGAATTAATAGAACAGAATAGAGTCAATAAATAGACCCATAACGTATATGGACAACTGATTTTCAACAAAGGTCCACAGATAATTCAGTGGAGAAAAGATAGTTGAAAAGGATAGTCTTTCAGACTTTTAAGTTGAATAGTCTTTTCAACAAATTAGATACACATATGCCAAAAAGTTTCCATACATATCTTGTACCATCCACAGAAATTAACTCAAAATGGATTATGGATCTAAATATAAAACTTAAAACTAAAAAAACTTCTAGAAGAAAGAATATCTTTGTGATCTTGGGTTAGGTAAAGATTTCTCAGATACAACACCAAAAACATCCATAAAAGAAGAAATATATAAATTAGACTTCAAAATCTAAAAGATTCTTCACTTTGAAAATATTTGTAAATCATAACCCGATGAAGAGCTTGTATCCAGAATGTGGAAAGAGCTCTCAAAACTTAGTAGTCATTAGTTATTAGGTAAATGTACAATAAATTAAAATCACAGTGATATACCACTACACACCCATTAAAATGGCTAAAATGAAAAAGACTGAGCATGTTGATCAGGATGCAGAGCAACTTGGAGACTCATACAGTAGTGATGAGAATATAAAAAGGTACAACCATAATATGATTCAGCCAGACAACTGCTTCATATTTACCATCTAACAGATATGAAATCCATGTTCATAGAAGCTTTAATGGTAATAACTGAAAACTATAAAAATCCAAATGTATATCATCAGATAAATGGATAAACAATAGCATAGCTATACAATGTAATACTACTCAGCAGTAAAAGAAATGAAGAATTGATAAAGATAACATGGATGAATCTCGAAATAGTTATGCCAAGTGAAAGAAATAAAAAAATAGTATGTGATATATGATTCCATTTATATAAAATCCAAGAAAATCTTTATAGTGACAGAAAGCTGATCAGGTGGGAGTGTGGTGGAGAGCAGGCCAGTAATAGCAAGAATGGAAGTGGCTACAAGGGGACAAAAGTAAACATTTTGGGATAATAAGTATGTTCACTATCTTGATGGTGATGATTTTACAAGTGTATACATATATAAAGTGCACAGTTTAAAGTACTGTACACTTTACATATCTGTAGTTTATTGTATGTCAATTATAGGTCTATAAAGCTTTTTTTGTGTGTGAGACAGAGTCTTACTTACTCTGTTGCCTGGGCTAGAGTGCCATGGGGTCAACCCAGCTCACAGCAACTCCTGGGCTCAAGCAATCCTGCCTCAGCCTCCCAAATAGCTGGGACTACCGGCATGCACCACCATGCCCAGTTAATTTTTTCTATATATTTTTAGTTGTCTAGCTAATTTCTATTTTTCAGTAGAGATGGAGTCTGGCTCTTGCTCAGGGTGGTCTTGAACTCCTGAGCTCAAACGATCCATCCGCCTTGGCCTCCCAGAGTGCTAGGATTACAGGCGTGAGCCACCGTGCACAGATTATAAAGCTATTTTTTAAAACAAGTTTGGAGCTGTAGATGAGGAATGATAGTTACCAGTGTACAGGTAGCGGTTAGAAACAACATGAGCATGAAAACAGACAAGGAGAACATGTAGTTTGTTCATGTATTTAATAAATCCTTTTGGCTGTTGGCTATGGAAAAAATTAATTAATCTTGAGTACCTGCAATGTATAGATATTACACTAGGGACTGGGGAATACTGAAAGGACTGTAAACTTGGTGCTTTATAATCTAGTTTTGAAATTACACATATCAAAAATAAATTATTATAGTGTCACACATGCCTAATGGGAGAAATGAAAGTGTTCTGTGGGAGCAGTC